AGATTTATGGTTTATAATTTTATAATTTAGAATTAATAAATCTGTTTCTAATAATAAAAGGTAGAAAAGGACATACTTTTGTGTGGGACCTTGTTTCCATATATTTTATCAAAATATATTAGATAAATTAATGGCGGGTTTAAAATTTTTATATTTATCGTAATAATTTAATTTGTTATTAGAAAGTGAGAATTTAGGCAGTCTGAGTGGTTTAAAAGGTACTACTTTTTACTGTCAATCTCATTGCTTAGTTGACAGATGTAATAAAACTGTGGGGTAAGATAGATAAGGGATTTGACAATTGATTTCATTAATTAAACACCAGGATCTTATATTCCTAAGCTTAAAACAAAGGGTTTAAAGACCTTTCCTACCTATTTGTTAATCCCCGCTATATAAATATCAATCCCCGTGATTAGACCAAATAGAGCAATTAGTTAGCCAAGTTAATTATTGTGTAAAATCATATAAACATTTCGACACTTGTCCATCTTTCCCATGGAAAAATGACTGCCCTACTTTATTATATTCTATTGTTTTTTTAATAAATTTTATTTTTTACATACATATTTTATGTATAACTAATTTATAGGTTCATAACGTCCTCAAAAGCCAAGTTGTATTAGTTTAATTGAAAATTAAAATAAATTCTTCATTATTTAGTCATATCTCCAGCTAATCTATATATGGTATTTAAGTCTTTTACAATATATTATTTTTAAAATAGTTTTAATTAGTTTTTGAAAGAAAAAAGAACCAAATCTTCCAAAATCAAACTGTTATTTAGAAAACTGTCATAATAAATGTTATTTAATCTAACCACTATTATGAAATCTAACCACTATTAATTATGATCAGAAGCCGTGCCGACCACATGACTGAAATTGATGATTTAAATCCAACAATCCCCCACATGACTGAAATTGATTATTTTTTTTATTAAAATATTTTGACACATATGATGATAGACCATACAATCGATAGTTGCATAGGATAGACACTATAGGCGGTGGGATAAGTAGTGCACGGGCAGTAGGAGCCATTAAAACGACCCTAACGATGTGCCTAAGAGCGATAGCGAAGTCTCTAAAGAAGGTGGCCTCGTCTATTCCTGTGTTCTCCGAGATGCCCATATCCCCGGAGTTTGAGACAAAATCATCACCAATGCCCTCGGTGAGTAAGGCACGACTCTCATCTCTACCCTCATAACTACAAGCGGGATCATCATTTATATCCTATGAAATTCAAAGAAAAGAGGATTCAACATCGTCATTCCAGAAATTTAAGTATTCTTTACACTTTAAAATATCGATACTCCATCTAAGATTATCAATACCAATCTTGGGTTTGATGTTTAGAAAATTAATTTAGCATCGACACCCTTATTTAGAGTATCAATAGTTCTTCTTTAAATAGTATGGATACTCCTAGAGTATCGAAACCAAAATTGTGTACTGGAACTTGTAACTTAACGATGGTATTAATATCATGTATTTGGTATTGATGCCCTGTGAATATACTATTGATACTACCTGACCAAAATCCCTTGAATTTGGCCTTCCAGAAGAACGATATTAGTACATTTTCTATTACTAATACCCCAAACGTAGAAAACTCTATTTTCTCTCAAGAAAAACAACCTTCCTATATCCAAAGCCCTTCTAAAGCCCTAAAATGTTATTCAAAACTTATAAGAGTTTAAGGGAATCATAATACATCATTTTCCCAAATGCGAAACATCAAAATATCCTATTTTCCTCATGAACACAAATATATCCATAATGCACTCTTGCACTCATACAAGAAAACAAATACACTTAATGATCTACAAGCGTTATAGACGAGTTAGGAGTGTGTTACCTTGGACCTAGTTGTTGGGGAAAATCTCCAAGTTACTAAAGCATTAGCTTCTCTTTGTTCTTTCCTTTGGAGCACTCTCTAACTTTTCTCACCAATCACAAGCAAAGAAAATGAATTACTAACTCGTTTTAGGAATTAAAACGAGTGGGAATATGATTTATAACCTTTAGAATTGGATTGGAAGCAACGTCAAAATATCCTATTTTCCTCATGAACACACATATACCCATGATGCGTTCTTGCACTCATACAAGCAAACAAACTACGCTTAATGATCTACAAGCGTTATAGACGAGTTAGAAGTGTGTTACCTTGGTCCTAGCTGCTGGGAAAAACCTTCAACTTACTAAAGCATTAGCTTCTCTTTGTTCTTGCCTTTGGAGCACTCTTAAACTTTTCTCACCAATCACAAGCAAAGAAAATGAATTAATAACTCGTTCTAGGAATTAAAATGAGTGGGAATATGATTTCCAACCTTTAGAATTAGATTGGAAACAACCTAAAGCCCTACAACCCAAAATTCAACTAAAACCTCCACCTCAGCCACCACGGTCAAAGCTAGGAATAGAGCTCTAAGGAAGGAGGTTAAGAATCTTACATTCATGTATTCAACCTAGTAATCAAGTTCCCTCCTTTAAAACTTTAAAGAGAAAGAAGAAGAGAGAAAAAGAGAAAAACATAACAATCACTAGCGGCCAGTAATCAATATTAAGATTAGTGTCGTCGCCGACAAAGCAAAAATTAAAAGGAAATAGAAAGGTGACACAAAAATATTTAGATAAAATTTAGGTTAGAGAAAAAAAGGAAAATATTTAAATATACAAGCTATTTAATTTAAAATTTAAATTTTACAAATTTTGTTTATTTTGAGTAAATTTAAAATTTATATATTAGAAGTTAGAGTTTAAGATTTATAAGTTTAAAAGGATAAAATTATTAAATATAGATTTTATATAATTTATATATTACATAATTTTCGTGATAAAATTTAGCTTTACTACAGGGGAAAATATTTAAATCTTAAAACTCTTGTATGCCAGGATAGAAAAAGTATCATATAAACTTTTTGTGTGATGACAAAAAACATTTATATTTATAAAAATTTGAGATTAACACTTATTAAATCCACACCATAGGCTCATATACCCTTTTTAAAATAATAATAATAATAATAAGAAAAGGGCATTTATTGTCTTATCAAAATAACCTTCCGACACTTGTCCATCTTTCCCATGGAAAAACGACTGCCCTACTTTATTATATTCTATTGTTTTTTTAATAAATTTTATTTTTTACATACATATTTTATGTATAACTAATTTATAGGTTCATAACGTCCTCAAAAGCCAAGTTGTATTAGTTTAATTGAAAATTAAAATAAAGTCCTCATTATTTAGTCATATCTCCAGCTAATCTATATATGGTATTTATGTCTTTTACAATATATTATTTTTAAAATAGTTTTAATTAGTTTTTGAAAGAAAAAAGAACCAAATCTTCCAAAATCAAACTGTTATTTAGAAAACTGTCATAATAAATGTTATTTTCACCTAATGCTAAGAATGTGATATAATCCAATCAATAATATTTAACATAATCACATCATCGTGCTAAGAATGTTAATTGTTCATAATTATAATTGTGTGCGTTAAATGAAGAATCTTAGCACGACAGTCATGAGCACAGATAAATTGTCTTCATCGGTGGAGAAAAAGGTAAGCATGTGTATGCACATAATATCTTGTTTTGAATTGCAAAAGCTTCAAGTCAAAGCAAAAGGTGTTGAACTTCTAGATGCTTCCATGTAGGCTTCTAGATTGTAATAATCATATCAGTAGCCGTAGGCATTTTAAATAGACACGTCTGTTACCAAAATCATAATAACAAACATTGTTTTACGAGTTTCGGCTTTGCCTATAATTGAATTAATTTCGATTAATTAACAGCTTGATCGAATTAACTCGAAAGCTGTTATATCTCGTATGTAGATGTCAGAATCGAATCACGACAGACCAATTAATTATGTCTTTGACAAAGCACCTGGAACAGCAGTTTTGTAGTTAGAGGCTGAAAATGAGGCATCTTAATTACACAATTACACGTGGTGTTGTTCTGCACGTGCAGTCTCAATGCAGAAAATTTAGTCAAAAGGATAAAGAGAGAGAGAGAAGCAGCAATTGAGTGGCCTCTTTCTTGAACCCAAAGGCAACTCATTGGTGCCCATCTTATCCGCACATCTTTTGAATTTTAATCTGTTTAATAGTTACCTAATCCGGTTGATATACTTGGTTCATTTTCAATACGTTTTATGTTGGGAATGAACTTATATTCAAACAGAAATAAATTATTAAGATTTTAAAAGATGAAAATAAATTTTTAATAAAAAATAAAATTTAGATCCAATATTAAAAGGTAATAAAGGACATTTTAGGTGTTATGCCATTGGGATCCAACAAAACACTTTTGTGAAGGGAAATTAAATGTGAAAATGCACGTTGGCGTGTGCCCATCCTCAAATGTAATTTTGGAATATTATTATTCTTCCAAAACAAAACGTTGGTTAAAATTTATAGCATTCGGGTTTGGAAAGTAATTTTGAAATTAAAATTATATTTTTGATTTTTAGTAAATTTAATATAATTTATAAATTATAATTTTTTTATCAAAATATAATTATAGATTGAATAAATTATTGGTGGATTAAAAATGTTATATTTATCACAATAATTTTATATAATTTTTTTTTAAAAACAGTCTAAGTAATTTAAAAGGAATCTTTTTATTCTCAATCTTATCACTTGGTTGACAGGTGTAATAGAAACGTGGGGTGAGATAAATATAGGTTTTGACAATTGATTTCAATAATTAAGCATTAAGAATTTAATTAAAATGAGTAGTGGGGGTGTTTTTGCAGAGATATTCATAAGCTAAAAAACAAAGGGTTTAAAGTGCTCTCCCATATATCTGTTAATCTCCACTTTATAAATATCAATCTCCATGATTAGACAAAATAGACCAATTAATTAGCCAAGTTGTTTAACATCAGAAAAAAAAGGTTAAATTATTATGCAAAAAACATATAAACATTGAGGCTGCTATGCTTCTCTTGATCATGGTATTACATGTTACTAGAAACGCATCAACACACATTACAAAAACAAGATATTAAAATAATACTCATCGAGGGGTAGGGTTATGGGTGGAAAAAAAAAAGGAACCCATAAAACCTTAAGCTCCACTACCACCTCCATAATAATCCCATTATTCCACAACTCACTGCGGTCCGGGGCGGCGCCTGTGCCGTCTTGTAAACGTTCGAGTTCGGTTCATGCGGAGCGTGCTCCTCCTACCCATATTCTGGGAATTGATCCTTTCCAAAGCGTTCCTCATGAGAGGGTCATTTTCAACCTCAAAGAGACAATCGTGAACCCACAGGTCATCAAGGACATTGGCTACAAAGCGTAGCTCCACCTCTTCCCTAATCCTCCGGATCTGTTCCTCGATCTCGGCAGCCGCAACTTGGGAGGCAATCAGTGACTGCATCACACGCCGGTTGACCCTTCGGTCCCTTGCCAATCTAGCCCTCATAATTCTTAGGCCATGCCCACGACCCTGTTTCCACAATCCACAACCACGATTTCAACGATCAAAAACCATAGCCTTAATTTCACCAGCAAATCTTACATATGAGTGAAAAGAGTTCAATTTCAATAGACTTTCGTGGACCAAAGAACTTACCAAAAATTGAAACTAAAGTGAAAGAAAAAGGAACCTGACCTTGATGTTAAAGCGACGTAGCCCAAATTGGTGAAACCAAAACCCTGTCATTTTTGGACAAAGAAATAATGAATAATCTTCTTTCTTTTTGGGAAATGTTGAATTAGATTAAAGCTAAAAAGTGGAAATGGCCCTTCGATTTTTTTTGGGGTTGGGGGTGGGGAGAGGTTTTATGCAAGAGACTGAAGATATAGAAGAAGAGGAATGGTTCAGCCTTTGCACTAATTTTCACGATGGTGAGAATTCGGATTTAAAGGAAGGCCGGTGGCTCCACCACCCTTTTTTACTCTCATTGGGCGATAAATGTCGCGCGTAATCGAACGATCTCTTCCCGTATGAAAACAAAAGGAACTCTAATTTTTGGTTGGGTTACTAAGTTACATTGCTGCTCACTAATGTATGGATAAATTTCCCCTTTTATTATTGAAATTTAAAAGTTTACTATACAATCATTAATTTATCAATTTATAATAAAATATCATTTTGATCTTAATGTCCATTACTCATATTATGACAGTGTGTGATGCACATGTTAGATATAATTTTAATGGTATTTTATACATAGATAAAAAACAATATTTAAAAAAACATAAAACTCCTTTTCTTTTTTCTCCTTATAAATAGGAAGCACTAACAATATTTAGGTAAACTGCTATCCTATTCGAAGAAGAAGGATGGACGAACATAAATATTGAAGAAAATAGATAGATTTGAAAGTGAGAGTACCGATCAATATACCACTATGCAATTTTGGACGCACAACTTAGTTGACCATTTCATGGACTAACTATAATTGTAACAACAAATTCTGATATTTGCAAGAATTAAATGACTTCAATAGTTAAAGAAATTGTTGTTATTTTTATTGATTACGAGTTCGAATATCAATGACCGCATAAGGTATTTGAGTATTCGCTATCAAATAATTCAAAGTCTTTAGATCATATACTGTAACTTGTAAGCACATTAAATTAATAAAAAAAATGATATTTATATTATATTTATGTAATTATTTATTTTGATTTGGGTTTTGTTTCGTGGGGATCAAAAGTTTCAAAACAGCGGCTGTATCATAAGCTTGAAAACTTCCTAGGTGGACCCTTGAATAATATTCAAAAAGAATATTTAAACATTTGACTAAACAATTACTTCACAGTCCACAGCCATAATAATATGAAAAATGAAAACATAAATACGAATACTATTGGATTAGTAAAATTCTATACTCAAACTTTGAAATTATATTTGTTTTTTATAAAAATAAAGAGAATTAAATGAATAAATTAGTTTATTTATTTTAGTAGAATGTAGGTTCACTCTACAATCTAATAGTTATTAAATTATTTGAGCACAGCTGTTCACCGCCCTTTTTATCTTATTGGACGTTGAATGGCGCGTGCCCATCAAACGATCACTTTATAGATATAAAAACAACGAAACCGGTATCGAATGAGAAGTCGGGATTTTTTTTACATTTAATATTATTAATATTTGAAATTATAGTTATGTGTTTTAAAAACTTTTCTTTTCTTTCTTCGCATCTATTTGCTTCAGCATTAAAATATAAAAACATTATCATTTAATTTTATAATTTTCCACGTAGTAAACATTTTGTTATTAAATATCCAAATATGTAACTGATTTTAAAGATGATTGGGATTTTGATTGGGATTTTAAAGATGATTGCGATTTTGATTGCCTTTTTCTTGACACCATATGAGCTTTGGATTTTGATGATGATCCATATTTTGGTAGAGGAAAAGATGATTGTGATGGCACTGGTGATCCACATGTCAACCTTGTATGACCACTTTCCTTGCACCGACTACATGTCGATCTCTTCTTCTCTTCACCCTTAGAAGATATACAATCGTGACTTTTTGGTCGGCCAGGTAGCCTTCTGTCCATGGCTGGTGGCAAAACTGTTTGTAAGTCATCTGGTATGTCCCACTCAGAAGGATGTGAAATAGGGTAGACAATCTCGGCATAAGTCTGTCGATATACTTCTGTAGTGTAGCAATCCATAGCGTATGTGCTTGAATCATCTTGGTTTAGATGAAGAGCAACTTTTATAACATGGCCACACGGATAACCAGATGTTTACCATTTCATACAACTACACGTCCTTGCATTTAGACCGACAAGCCCATTTAAGTTATTATCCAGTACTTCAAACAAAGTGTTTGAACATGGTTCAACTCTCCATGACGTTGACTTCACAACACATTTCGTTATCTTTTTTTCAGTCCATGGTGTAACACGATGTTCCAATGTTCCTGTAAATTTAAATAAATAATACTTAGTAAAATATATGATAAGTTACGAATTCAAAGAAATAATACCTGCATGGTTTCTTTTCTTGTAGTACCACTGTTGAATAGAGGCTCGAAAAAACTCCATTAACATAGTAATGGGTAATTTCCGGGAATGACGACTTAGAGCGTTAATTGATTCTGCACTATTAGACGTCATGAAACCATATCTTGCTCCAAGTTGATGTACTCTTGACCATCTTTCAAACCCGACATCTTCTAGTGTTTGAGCACACTGAGGCAAAACACGTCTTAAACAGTTTATATGCTTATTGAAATCCACTTCCCGATAAGCCTTTACAGCCTTCCAGTATGTCCATTTGTGCTTTTTTATACCAGCAGACCTTGATTTTAGATTTCTATACAAATGAACACCACAAAGTCCATGAAAAGCATCTGGGAAACACCTTCTAACAGCGTTGTCAATTGAGTTTGCCCTATCGGATATGATTATCAGATTGCTAATAGGACCTATGCAATCCCTAAGATGCCCCATAAACCATGTCCATGAATCAGAGGTTTCAGATTTGCCAACCCCGTAAGCTATTGGCAATATCCCATTGTTAGCATCCATGGCTACTGCTAATAAGTTTACTCCAAGGTATCGACCTTTCAAATGTGCTCCGTCAACTATAATAACTGGGCGCATGCAAGTAATAAACGAACGAATCTACAAAATAATATACACAAGAAATATAATCATTTAAATGTGAAATGCATGTAACTAACAGAAATGAGTCAACAGAATTATATTGATTTACTAACCGCAGCACCAATGGCGATAAACAGCAACTCAAAGCGTCCATCTCTATCTGTTTTGATATGAGTTACCGACCCAGGATTTTTCAGCTTTAAATTGTGACAATAAGCCGGCAGTTGGGCAAACGATGCTTCTGGCGACCCCTCAACAATTCCAAGGCATAACATTTGGCTCTCCAAGCTTGAGAATATGATATACTAATCTTGAACCGAGCATTCATGTCAGTCATAATTTCATGTCCCCGATATACCCTGCCATTCAAAAACATTAACTCAGCCAGAAAACCACCCAACACCTTTTGTTTGCCTGTCTATGGTGAGGAAAAACTTGGGTTCTTGAACATGTATGTTTATCAATAAAAGTCCTAACTTGAAACATTGCGCAATCTTTTATCCTCTTTGCAATCATACGCCACGTACAGTTTTTGTCAATCGTACACCTTGTTTCGAAACGATCTTTGCTTGATTTGTTAACTTTTAGTTGATAGCCATCTTCCACACATTTCGTATACAAAGCTATCTTCAAGTCTTCCTTTGTATCAAAACAATCATCTTTCTTGATACGAATAACTTTTGTGTAACAATCACTGCTTTCTTTGCCAACTCTTCTTCCGGTAGCTGAAGTAATTCTGGCATATTCCAGTTATACTCCCGTGGCATTTTCTTTTCTTCGGGGACTTTTTCTTCTTCTTTTTCTTCTTCAGGATTATATGAATTACAGAATGGATGTTCAACATGTTCATTCACAGTCGTAACTTCCTCCTCATTATCATCAACAACATCTTCCTCGGCAACGGGTGTTTCATCATCAAAATTCGGGTATTGACCAATATCAAAATCATTACACGCAGGGTCTGTTTCTTCTTCTGAAACATCATCAAAATCCGTGTATTGACCAATATCAAAGTCTGGGTATTGACCAAGATCAAATTTCGAATACTGACTAGTACTCACAATTTTTTCTCTTGGCTCATCATCGTCTAATTGGTCAATACGAAAACCGGAATTTGGTGCTGAAAGTTGATTTGGATTTGGATTAGAGAAAGACTGTGGGTTTTGAGACCCACTTTGTTGATTACTACCCGCTACTGACCCAACAATACTACTTCTAGGTTCAACAACATACAATGTAACATCATCACTTGAAACATTAATGTAAGCAATGAATCGTTCAACATCTTCATTGTCGGTTAACAAATAAACTTTACCATTTCTCTGATAAGATAGCCTAAATCCACTTAGGGGCTCTAAATTCAATTTCTTTGAAACACGTAACATTAGGGTTTCATAAGTTAACTTCTTTAATGACAGTTTTAGTTAAAGATTCATGGGTAAAGACATATATTGTAAAACACCATGAACATTCTCCCATGACCCTCCAAAACACAAATCTATCCAAACATGATCAACATTAGATGATTTCATGGTTGTAACTAAACAAACGAGATGCGAAACTAAGACCTGTTGCCGGATGGGGAAGGATGTCGTTGGATATAGGAACGGATGTCGCCGGAGAGAGTGATAGATGGAGATGGAATGAGTTGCGATTTAGGGATTTAGGTTATGAGTTGTTGCTGCTGCGTATATATACACAAAAATTTGGCTTGCGAAACTAAAACCTGTTGCGAACTTTGAAACTCGCATTGCGATTCTGTATTATCTCGTTGCGAAAGTCAGAATCGCGTTGCGAAAGGCAATCATTTGACCATCGCAATGCAAAATGCAAATCGCAACGATAGAATCGCAATGCGAAATGAAAAAGGCAACGAGGATTAACATGCATAAACTTTTAACAATTATTGAATTCTAGGTACTTAACCAACATTTTCAAACCAAAAGGAGTATATATGTTAACAAAACTTGCATTATGTGTATTTTATGTGTGCACTTTTAACATTTTCAGTTAGGCATGTATTAGTAACTTGAGTTTGAACATTGCTATGATCTGTTCAGTTGTTATCACTTATTAGACATTCATTTGACTATCGCAACGCGAAAATGGCTATCGCAACGCGAAAATGGCTATTGCAACGAGAAAATCGCAATGCAAAATGAAAATCGTTGCGATTTTCATTTCGCATTGTGATTTTCTCGTTGCGATAGCCATTTCGCATTGCGATAGTCTGTTTTGCCTTCAA